TAATTGAATGTTCACACTAATGAGGTGTACCGAGATGGATCGGATCATTTCTATTCTAAAATGTAACTCATGGATGGACATGAGATTAAAAATGATCAATGGTTCAGATCTTTTTATACGCTTTTCACTATAAATTCTCTTCTTTTCGCATACATTTATATATGTATTATATATATATACATACCTATATATAAAATAATAATAAATTAAATAGAAATTTATTGATCAATATATTCTATTATTTAATTTCTTTAACATATGGTTTTCATTAATTATCATATTATATTATTAGTGAATTTTTCTAAATATATAATGAAATGTTAAAATTAATAAATTTTTAAACATGTTGTTTTGGTCATTTTACACTTTTCAACTAGCTTATTAGCTAGTTTTTACCAAACATATTTAGTTCATCGGCTAGCTTATCAGTTATCGGCTAGTATTAATCAACAAATTCTATTATTTAATTTCAATGACATATGGTTTGTATTAAATAACATATTATATTATTAATGATTTTATAAATATATAATGAAATGCTAAAATTTGATAATTTTTAAACATGTTTTTTGATCATTTTATATTTTTCAACTAACTTATGAGCTATCAATCAACTAGCTTATCGATTAGTTTTCATAGTAAAACCCTCTAATAATCCATTTTTATAAGTTGATGTTTTTTATTAGAGTGGAACAAATGTTAATAGTAAAAAAATGTGGGATCAATGTTTAAGAAACAAATTAAAGGAAAAGAAAGGCAACTAAGCATATATTTTTCATTGTTATTTTCTTTTTGCAGGAAAGATACTCAATAGGTGCTCTAAAATTGTGCTTGTTATGTGGCTAAGTATGATCTTCATAGTACTTCAGGTTTTTACAGCTACTTTGTCCTCGTGGTTAACAATAAATCAACTACGTCCCAGATTGCCTTCAAGTTTTGATAATGTTGGATATCAAGAAGGTTCCTTTCTAGAAAATTTCATMCTGCAGGAAGGGAATGGTTTTGGAAATCCAGTGGCTCTAAAAACACCTGAAGATTATGAAGATGCTTTGTCTAGTGGCAGAGTAAATGCAGTTATTGATGAGCTTCCCTACATCGAACTATTTCTTGCTAAGTATGGTTCTGATCATTACATGAAGTTTGGACCGATAAACCAAGAATCTGGACTTGCATTTGTGAGTCTCTCCTCTCTCTCTCTCTCTATCCCTCTCTCTCTCTCTCTCTCTATATATATATATATCCCTTTCTCTATCTATATCTATCTATCTTGTGTAAGCATCGGAATTCTCACTTTCTTTTTCATCTTCTCCCTCCTTGGTGAACAACTGTTAGTTTTTTTTCAATTTTTGTGATCATTCAAGGTGTTGGAAAGTCAAACTAGAGAATGCATGCTAGTTTTTTTGTTCTTTATTGGAAGGATTAAAAGATACTATTAATACTGATGATACATATGAAAATAATATATACGTGCCAACGGATTATGAAGTCTTTCAACTGAACCGTAACCTCGACCTAAAATGGTAAAAAAAGTTGATACATACAACTAAATCAAGATAAATTAAACAAAAAACACTACGAAAAAACCCTAGACATCTATTCATGCTATGGTAATTTACCTGATGTTATGTGCCTCTCCCTCGCTTGCTATATTTTCTATCCTGTTACCATGTTTAATGTATTGCTATGTGATCTTAATTATTGATCTATAGACATATTAGAATCATTCCCTAACTTCTTGTGTTTAATATCTCAGGCCTTCCCTCGTCCATCTCTTCTAGTAGACGATTTTTCTAGGGCAGTCATAAATATCACTGAAAATAAAATTATGATGGAATTGATGGAAAGATATCTTGGGTTCTCTACTSCTGATAAATCACAATCTAATCAACCCCTTCCACAAAGTCTTGAYGTTCAGAGTTTCATTGGATTATTCATATTCATGGCGGGTGTGACTATTGCCGCCGTTATCTCATCAGAAATCTCCCTTATGCGTGGAAACAATAATATTGTTCCTATAACAGTCTAGTTTTGTTATCGATTAAACTTGGTATATTCATTTACATGACAATTGGATRTTTTATCTACTTGTACCCTTGTTTAAAATAGTTGTATTTTGGACTAATAATGTAAGGGCAAGTTTTATGTAAAGGRTCAATTATGTAAATAAATTGGTCTTAGAACTAGAAATGTAAAGAAAAATCCATGTAAGTACTAATATTGAATTAGCAATTGATGAGGGGTAATRTTTGATAAGTGGGAATTCATGTACTAACTATTTAAACCCCTTTATTTCAGTCAAATAACCTTCATTTGCATCTTGCGCTTCTCTCTATAGACTTAAAATTCTCTCTTCACATAAACTCTAGATTTGGTTATAACCCTCTCATGCATCTAGTAATTTGGTGATATTTTGAAGATTTAAACCTAATCGGTTGAAGAGAATGTAAAGAAACAAKGTATGAATTTATAAATTTCAAGGTTTGTGGTCTAAATTATTGATTTGTGTTAAAGTTGGGAAGGTTCATGTTAGGGTTCATAAGRTTTTGATTAGTAAGCTAAWBYTTTGTTAAATGATGTTATTTTTATGTCATTGTTRGTTAAAGAAGTTATAAATTAAGTTTTAATCRTTTATTTACAATATGTCATTGTTGGTTAAAGAAGTTATAAATTAAGTTTTAATCATTTATTTGCAATATGGTAAAGCTAGATAGTTGATTCTTGATGGTTTTAGTGTCAAATTTATATAAAAGGGGCTGTTTTGAGCTGTGCATAGGAATCATAGTACTGYTGGTTGTTTAATAATTCATATAAAATCACTCATTGATCCGATTGAGGTGTGCCATATATTGTTGGAAAGGTATATGTGTCTGTTACAACTTTGTATGTCTAGATCTAATTTTACCTCCATAATGCTCAAAACATTGAGTTTATGTATCTGGTCCTGTGCAAAAATGGGATTTGCATACTGTTTTCAGAAAATTCATATAAAATAGGTTTTTGATCCAAATGGAATGAATCCAAATCAAATGGAACCCTAAGTAATCGGCCTCCAACTTTTGTTTAGACATTAACATCTGAATGCATCTCTAGGTATGATAAAAATGATCAAAGTCAAGTTGGTTCAAAGCTGTCAGGTGCAGGGGATTTAGTAGCATTATTTWTGCTTGTACTTTGTGTTTTGAGGATTGTAACATTCGTAGATCTTGTATCGATCAGTCACAATCATGTGTAAACTTATTCAGGACCAMTCTTAGAATAAGAAAGGGGCATTAACAAGGGGATAGGAGCTACGTGCTTACTTTATCGATTACCGTCTAAGGTATGRATATCCAATTCTTGTAACTCTAGCTACTAGTCTAGTATCGAAGTAAATTATTTATCTCATTCTCTATCAAGCATTTATCACATATTCYCTTGTTTTCAATCCATGAAATCAAATTGGGACATTTTGAGTTTGATAGCTCCTTTAATTWTTGGTGTTCGACATGTCAATGAACATAAGTCTTATTTAGAGCTATTATTAGTGTTTGTCTTTGGTATAACTATTGTTAGCTACGTGAATTAAACCACTTTTGAATTCATTCTTCTGGTATTGAACCTTTGTCGRATTTGAACCGTTTTCGGAATTCTATTTTGACATGAAGTAGTTAATAGTTTCATATTTTGTGAGATTACCCTTTTCACATTGAATTGATATGTTTTTAGTGATTTGAGCATTTTGTGCTTTAAGTCACGACATCGAGGGCAATGATGTCGTGACGCCTCCATGGAGGCTATAAATTGTCATGGCATCCTCGCTATTATACCCCAATGTCAATAAGTGGGTCTGACCTGGTACCGGCTAATTTGAGGGCGAATGGATTGATCCTAGGAGCCRCTATYGGGAGCCGTATTCGGGAACCGTTTTCAAGAGCCGATTACCSGAAGGGAATTGAGTGTATTGCCCTACACTCATTTTCCATTGTTTGAGTGGTCCGTACAACCCTCGAACCTAATTAATTTTCTTATTTATTCTCAATTCTTGACTTGATGATATTATTTTAATTATTTCAGTATGGACATTTCAAGTCAATTATTACTCGATCCCTTCATGTTTCGGTTTCTAGATTCCTTATAACTATCTTTTATTAACTCGATTATATACTTGCGATCTTGTTATTTTAACTATCCGCTCACTGAGCATTTGGCTCAGCCGAGGTTTGTTTTGTCCTTGGCAGGTACATGATCGTAGGTGGAATTATCACGGGACTGAGAGCGATGAAATATGACTATTTTGAAGACGACCTTGGATAGTATAGTAGTTTTTGTTTCTGTATATGTTGTAATTGTATCCATGTCGTTTTAACTTTTAGTCCACCACACCTTTTTTAATGGATATTCATGGTAGCTCTGGTTTTTCCCGTATATATTAGCTATTTATCTTGTTATGTTTTCCTCCGTAACACACCATCCTCCGGCCACGCAGGACAAGGGTGTCACAGTTCCCTTGATATCAACGGTTGATTCAATTCCTCTATGATATTCTACAACTAGTCTGACCAACCAATTAAAATGAACCAAAATTGAAGTTCAGGCATGTAGTTCCATCCTAGATTGGAAGTTCTAATCTTTTCACRTTGAAGATGAAGACAAAAGGTGAAGAACAAGCCACACTATTCGAACAAGTTTTAGTTAAGTTCTCAATAAGATCATATTCTTTTGTGAAAGCAATTCTTTTTCTAGTCAAACAGCTTTTCCCTTGTTAGTATGTAATTACATTTGCATTGGTGCGTGTATAAAATATGTACATTAGACAGGTACAAGCTAGATTGAATGTAGTTTTTAATATTGATTACCATTCTTAAGGGTGAACAACGGTCTTATGACAAGTTCCCTTAGTGGCATCAAGTCCAACAAAGAATATAGTCATATTACATCCTATTACAAACCAAATTGTCACAAGGAGAGTTGAATCTATAGGAATTGGCATGAATTTCAACTTCTTACACTTTTAGTAATGGAAGGTTGTATTAAAATATAAACTAAACATATAGAAATTTAAGMTGTTAATAAAACCAGACTAAAGTATGATTTTTCGTTCATGTGGTTTGTTAGAAATTGCCATTTCCATACTCGTGGTTTAAAATTTGATTTTTTTTTTTGTCTCTGTCGTCTTCATTTTTTCCGTTTTTGTCCGTGAAGTTAAGGACATTAGAAAATTTCCCTAACATTAAGGSTAATTTGATCTTTCAACATTTTTTTTTATTTTTCTTATTGTTTAATTATTAAATAATATATTGTTGTACAATATATCAAAGCTTAGGTACAAGTCTAATAGATTGCACTATAGAAAACTRAGCATCAACGAATGGCAACTATCGACAGCAAAAACAGTCGGTATTTACCGAAGGCAAACCAACGGTTTATCGGCGATACCTTTTGGTTTTATTTTTTATTTTTTTAATTAAGTCAGCAGAAAACCGTCAGAAAAATTAATAATCTACAGACGGTAMCCTTTTCTATTTTATTTATTTTTAACAAGTCATAAGAAAACCGTCAGAAATATTAATAATATACCAGCAGTTTATTGACGTAACCTTTTCTATTTTAATTTTTATCAAGTCGTGGGAAAATTTTCAGAAATATTGATAATCTACCAAAAGTTTCATGGCACCCTTTTTTATTTTATTTTTTATTTACTTTTAATAAGTCGTCGAAAAACTGTCGAAAATATTAATACTATACCAACAGTTCATCGAATGTAATATTTTTTGTTTTAATTTTTTTTATTTTAACCAGTCATCGAAAAATTAACAATATATCAACGGTGCCCTTTTCTACTTTTTTTTTATTATCTATTTATTTATTTTTTTAAAATCGTCAGAAAACCATCAGAAATTTTAATGTACATCGACGGTAAATCTTGGGTTGAATTTCTAGATTTTTATGCGGTTTATATATGGGACAGCTTATCCATCGATAATCGTCGGTAAAATCTAAACAATTTTTTTAAAACCCGTTGGAAAGTCGTCTGTAACGAGAAAACCCTCGGAAGGTCGTCGATTATATGAACCGTCAGAAAGTCGTCGGTAGCTAGAACCTTTGGAACGACATTTGAATATGAACGTCGGAAAGCCATCGGTTATTGGCCCCCTCGAAAAGCCGTCGATAAGATGCGTCGATAAATTTTACCGATGAATTTTTCCGTCAGAAAGTCGTTGATAAAGGCCGTTTCCGAAGCATATTTTCTTGAAACTCTTTTGGGAGGAGAAAGTTCTTAGAGAAATATTTTAGAAGAATTATCATCTAGAGAAATCTTTGGGAAAATATCTTCCAGATAAATCTTTTGGGAGATGGAAGCACCTTCTAGAAGATCCCTTAAGAAAATGAGAGGTCATCTTTGTGTATAAGTACCTATCACCCTTACATATTTGGAATATCCCCAACACACATTAGAAATACACTCCTATGAGTGGGGAGAGATACACTTTGTTGATCCAATAGAGAGGATTCGTACTAGTGAGGTAACATCTTTTGTACTCTCTATTTGTACATGTTGCTAGAGGTGTGGCCGTAAGATCCCGCATTGGTTGGGGAGGAGAACAAATGTTGCCTTCTAAAGGGGCTTGATATTTCCTTTATCAGACGCGTTTTAAAACCGTGAGTCTAAATGTGTGGATAAAGCGAATGATATCTAGTATAATTTGTCTGATATGTTACAGATGGTCAGAGCCGAAAACCAGACTAGTATGCCAACGAGGACTGTAGGCTCCTAACAGGGTGGACTTTAAGATCTCACATTGGTTAGTGAGGAGAAAAAATGTTACCTCCTCTATCAGATGTTTTTTAAAACCATGAATCTAGGTATGCGGACGAAGCAGATAATATCTAGTATGGTTTGCCCGAGATATTACACGTTCAAATACTAAAAAAATCCTCAAAAGATTATTCAAGAATTCTGAAGTATTTTATGGTTCGGAGCTATCAAAATAGCTAGGGTTACACCTCGGTTTCCCATCGATCGTCTTGGCGCCACCCCTACCCTTTAGTCACAAATGGTCGTAGATGACACGCCTCATCCTCTTCCT